TTTTTTTTTTAAACAGCCCAAAAATTATAGAGAAACTTATGAGTGGGATAGACACAATTTTCAAGATGGAGGATCTCCGTTTGCGTTCAATTTGTACCATAGACTAATAGAGTTTCGTATGCCTGGTGAGATTCAGTGTCAGTTTCTTTTTCTGTCTAGTATTGGGTTGCCATTTTAATACTTTGACCAGAAAAAGACTTGTAAATTTTACACATTTGGTAGATTTATGGCAGTTAAATTTGTGACAGATCATTAATTTTATTTAGGGCATCTTAAATTTGTATTTCAAAAATTAAATATAGCAACTTATTTATCATGTTATATAGTTTAAAAACTAAATTGTTCTAACTTAAAAAATCAAATTATTTTTAAATTATGCTATTATTAAAAATATAAACAATTTTTTGATACTTAGAATACGTTTTTCGTTGTATCATTATTGCGTTACGTAGTCAAAAAATTGACAAGTTATTGAGTAATTGCTTAAAAAAAATACTAAAATTTGAGCATTAAATTAATATTTAAATCCATTAAAGCATTTAAATGGAGCAATTATTTACGTATTTTATTAATTAAATGTTTAGCAAATAATGATAAAATTGAATCTGGAAATAACCAGAGAAATAATTGAAAATTAAACATAATTAAAAAATACATATTATTTACGTTGTTCAAAAAATGTCTAATTTCATTAATTAAATTACATAAAACTAATATATGTACTGAATTTTGCATTTTTCATGCTAATCGCGTGCACACAATTCCTGGACATAATGTCCGTCGTAATCATGATCAAGCTATTATTTAAAATTAAAAATAATTGAAATAGAAAAAACATCCATAAAAATATGAAACCTCCTTGGATGAGATGCTACGTGTTTGCGTGCATTAAATTCATGATATGAATGTGTCCGGGAAGATCAACTGTTACAAAACAAGAAAACTTCTCGTCACAACAAAGTTTCTTCGCATTCACACCGGATAATTTTATGCAAGCCAAAATTTCTTTCTTCTTTGAACCTTCTTTGCAACTAAAAAAAAAATATTATAATATAACGTAAAATTAAAAATGTAGGAAAAGATAAATGACTACATATATTATAATAGCTGCTGCAAAATTAGCTGCACGCTACAAGCAGGATTGTTATCGAGCCTGGGCTGAGGCGTCAGCGGCTAGGGATGTAAATACCAGCCTACTCAAAAAGAAGTACAACTTCGCCTCCAGGTCCTTCAAAAGAGTTATTGCCAAGGCAAAGTCGGAACACGTGGCCAGCATTGGGGAGAGGCTGGTGCGCCTTCCTTCGGGAACTCGTGCGTTCTGGTCTCTCGCCAAGGCTGTCCAGGGGAATTTTTGTAAGCCGTCCTTACCATCTCTGCGCAGGGGGGATGACACGTTGGCCCACACCGCAAAAGAGAAGGCCGACCTTCTTGGCTCTCTTTTCGCGTCCAACTCGACTCTGGAGGACAAAGGTTGCTCGCCGCCGAAAATCCTGTGCGGTGACACCTTTATGCCGGAAATCCAGTTTCGTCAGAGATTAGTGCGTAAAGTACTTCAATCTCTGGACGTTAATAAGTCGAGTGGGCCCGATGGAATCCCTCCCATTGTGCTTAGGACTTGCGCTCCTGAGTTGGCACCGGTTTTAACGCGCCTGTTCCGGTTCTCCTACTCTGTAGGCGAAGTCCCGAAATCTTGGAAGACTGCCATAATCCACCCGATCCCTAAGAAAGGCGATAGCTCGAATCCGTCCAACTACAGGCCGATTGCCATCACTCCCTTGTTCTCGAAAGTCATGGAAACGACCATCAATTGCCGGCTTATGAGATACCTTGAGGAGCACCAGCTGATTAGTGATCGTCAGTACGGATTCCGTCAACGCCGCTCAGCTGGTGATCTTCTTGCGTATCTCACGCATCGATGGTCGGAGGCAATCGAGGGCAAGGGGGAGGCCCTGGCGGTTAGTCTGGACGTAGCTAAAGCCTTTGATCGGGTGTGGCATAAAGCACTTCTGTCGAAGTTGCCTTCCTACGGGCTACCCGAGAAACTCTGCGAATGGATTTCCAGCTTTTTGGAGGGTCGGAGCATCAAGGTCGTTGTCGACGGCGCATGCTCTGACCCGAAACCAATTAACGCTGGTGTCCCACAAGGCTGTGTACTGTCGCCAACCCTGTTTCTTCTGCATATCAATGATATGCTGCAAATTAGCAACATACATTGCTATGCAGACGATAGCACGGGTGACGCACTGTACACGGCCCGCGCGAACGTTTCTCGGGTTACTGCCGATGAGAACCGGACTGGACTTGTGTCTAGACTGGAAACCCTATTGGGTGAAGTCTCGGATTGGGGTCGACAAAATCTTGTCGAATTCAATCCCAAAAAGACACAAGTCTGCGCCTTTACCGCTAAAAAAGATCCCTTTGTCGTAAATCTTCACTTTGAGAACACTCCCCTGGTTGCCTCAGCCAGTATCGGTATTCTCGGCGTTGACATATCGAGTGACGTTCAGTTTCGCGGTCACTTGGAAGACAAGGCCAAGCTGGCTTCCAAAAAGCTGGGTGTGCTCAGTAGGGCGAAGCAGTATTTCCAGCCGGGCCACCGCCTACAACTTTATAAGGCGCAAGTGCGGCCCCATATGGAGTACTGCTCGCACCTCTGGGCAGGAGCACCCCAGTACCAGCTTCTTCCATTTGACCGCATACAACGGAGAGCGACTCGAATCGTCAACGACCGAGGTCTTACCGATCGGCTTGATTCCCTGGCCTTGCGGAGGGACGTTAGTTCCCTCTGCATTTTTTACCGCATTTACCATGGGGAGTGTTCCGAAGAATTGTTTGGAACGATTCCTGCCGCCGAGTTCCGTAATCGGACGACACGACAGACCGCCAGGTTCCATCCACACCACCTGGATGGCTGGCGTTCCACAACGGTGCGATTCTCGCGCAATTTCTTGCCTCGCACAGTCGCGTTGTGGAACGGTCTGTCCTCGGCGGTATTTCCAAACCAATACGACTTAGGGACCTTCAAGAAGCGAGCATACCATTTCCTTAAAGGCCGGCAACGCATCTACAGTTCCTCTGGTGTTGCAGATGTCTATGGGTGTCGATGATCACCTTGGTGTTCCCGCCGCTCGTTTGCCCCCTTCTCTTATAAAAAAAAAAAAAAAAAAAAAAAAAAATAATTATAAACATATAATATTACAATTTAAAAATTATTTAAGCCACATTATGGACAGTGAATCATTATCTAATACCCAATATAGTTTATTTTAGTTTGGTATTGTTCATCATTATAATTTAGATTATTGTCCCAATATACTTATTATATAGCAACTCCAAACTAAAATAAATAATATAAATAAATAATATATTGGGATAATAATGTAAATTATTTTTTTTTGTCATTAACATTTTCAAATACTTACGTTTTCCCTTTCCAAAAGCATTTCCAGCACTCCTGTGCATTCATCAATCCGGAGCCAAAGAAGAAGTTATTGTGTGCACTTTCAATATGCAAGTTGTCCATCACTGTGTCTACTGGACTTGCGATAGGCGTTACTGCATTCCAGCGTTTCCTAAACCATAAAAATAATAAAATCTTACTGCCGTAGGAAAAGTTACTTACTGGTGATTTAAATATTTGCTTGGTGGAGATTTTCCATAATGAATTTTCATCAACTTGTTCAATGACCCGTTAATATTTTACTATTATTTTTTTTAAATCAAAAATCTTTATTGTTCCACAAACTAAATTAATTTGAAAAGTAAAATCTGCTCTGAGAGTTCGAGAAAGTGCAAGCAAAAATATAATATTTACATTACAGTTTCATGTCAAAACGTAGGAAAATACCTCCAAAAGTTTTTATTAATCCTGGTCTTCATGATGTATGTAATGTTCCACCAGACGATCTCCGCTGCCATGGTGACGAGCACGAGGGGCGGGCCGTCGTCGTCAGTGTCAGTGCGGGGCGGGGCTGGGCGAGTGGGGGGCACCGCGCGTCAGCCACTCCGGCACCGGGGAGAACCGGCACCACTGCACCTTCGTCTTGTGGTGCTTTAGGAACCGTAGCTGACGCTGATTGCTCACGTGCCAAACCTGCAATATAATCAACATAAGTTGTCACTCGCGAATTCTATTGAAAAAGACTTAATTTATAGCCTATACGTTCTTCCACAGTATGTTTTAAATATTGTAACTCTTCACCTCTCAAGTCAGTTCTAATCGGTGATTCCGAAGTGACTAAGACATCACGTTTAATGTTAGATTCCCAAGTAAGATGTTGGCGATCGCGAGTTCGATAGTAAATAACGCCTTCTCGATTCAAGACATCCGTGCCGATTATAATCGGTGTATTCATAAACTCTGGACTCGCTAAATTGTATTGATAGAGTTATAAAATAAGTGGACTCTATTTCTTGACCGCCAATGCCTCGCAATACTTTAAAGGCAGGCTTGCAGGCGTATTTAAAGTGTTTTAACAAGTGGGAAGAAATTAGTGATATACTTGAACCGGAATCGATAAGAACGTCAACTGGAATCCCTTGTACAATCGCTACGACAATATCGCTACGCCTCTTATTTAGGTTTTCCCGGCAAAAGTGAACAATATTTGTATTTCGCGATTCTGACTTCATCTTTGCAAAACAAGTTTCAACTTTATGACCAAGCTTTTTACAGAAACTACACGGTTCAGATTTTGCTGTATTTTGAAGAGAATGACTTTTCCGATCGTTATTAGTATTAGTGTCGTTACTTGGTGCTATCTTAGGTCTTTTAAAACAATTTACTGTTTATGCCCTTGCTTACCACATATAAAACATTTACCGGACTCGAACCGCCGTTTGCGATCGTATACCCCATGTGTATAGTTAAACGAACGATCATGACGCAACCCACTTGAGTTTTTGTTAGAATGAGGGGCATTAGACTTGACATAAATAGAAAGGAACTCTACTAACTCATTTGGCATTAATTTGGCGTTGGTGGCTCAGTTGCGCGGATCTGCGGATCTGTGATGCCCCGTATAACTATTGCCGATATCAGCTCATCGCTTAACCCCCTAATGATACGTAATCGTAAAAGGGACCTACGAGCATAATCAGCGTATGTAAGGAAGCTATCCGAATTGGTGCTCATAACCTCGTGTAGAATGTTGGCTATGTCTGTTTTTTTTTTGGACATAAAGGCTTAAATTCGTTTTTAAAATTACTCCAACTGCGGTCATTCGTTACTCATTCGCTGAGCCACATTTTAGCATCTCCTTGTAAAGAATTGCCAATGCGAGAAAGACATTCGTGATCACTCCAATTATTAGATGACCTAGCACGGTCTACTTCTTCACATGTCTATATGTCATTAACACTCGGATCAAAATTAGTAATATAATAAGACTGGTTAGATCTCACCGGAATATTCATGGATCGTATCGCATCGATGATGCGATCGGCGGCGCTGGCCTGTACTGACGTAGCGCTCGCTGGACGCTCCGGTGAGGACGGAGTCGTTGAAGCCAACCGCTCTGCGCGCCCTTGAAGCGAGCTCGCAGTCACAGCTTCGCCCAACTGCGACGGCGACGGCGACGGCATCGACACGGCAGGCTCAACGGCATTAACGGGCTCGGTGCTGATGGTTGTCACAGGCACCGCGGACCTGGCCACTTCCACTGCGGCGCGGCCACTTGACTCCTTCCGATGAGATGAAGACACTACCTGTTGTTCCTCTAATGACACCAATCTATTCAAAATTTGTTGCATTGTTTCGGTTAAAATATTGCTAGAAGGGCTACGTCGTCTGTAGCGTAAATCATGTTGGCTAGAATGCGATCTGCGATTTCGCGATCGATTCCTACTCTGCCGCCTCTTATTAGGCACGTTTTCTTTTTTTAGCAAGTATTTCAAATTAGACGTAATTCGAAGCAACGCATTCAAGTTACGGTAAATAATTGATCAGCAGGGTAAGCACGGCAAAATATTAAAGTTGAGCCATTTAAAAATTTTCACAACAAACTAACAAATTCAACTTCTATTTGTTATTTTAAAGCGGAGAAGAAAACAATTGGAACGTACTCACCAAAGTTGACATCATAAAACTAGATCACACCGTCACATCACGTCTTACTTACGTATATTATACGAAACACCGAAAACAAAGTGCTAATTTGTCCTTTTAAACAAGGGTAGTTACAATTTCCAAAAATATATTTCTGATCGTATGACTAGCCAATTAAAGAAATAACAATGGAAACACATCGTATCAGGATGTACAAACCAGGACGTGGGAGTTTCACTATTCCACTTCTGATCTTAAGGATCAGAAGCAGGGAAAATTAAAAAAAACAATCTCTTATACACTACTACAGTACTTTTTGAATTAATAAGAAAACTATCAAAATTGATTGAATTAAATTAACACTTAAATGATTTCGAAATATAACATTAACTTGATCAACTACCAGAGTTAAAATGATTAATTATTTTGGCTCGTCAAACGGGCAGAGCTTCCGCTGGCTTCAGTGTTCGGTGGCGAGTGTGTCCCGAAAATGAGGGTGCGGTCTCTTATATTGACATCACCGCACCATTATTTTTAAGTTCCACCCTCAGCTAACAATATATTTAAAGTAGGAAGTTATTAAGTAGCCATTGTCAACTGAATTACTGTTTAACGTATAGTGTGCAATTTTTAATGTTTATTGATATTGTAAAAGCTTCTAATAACTTTTAATTTGATCTTACTTTATAAGTTACGTTTTTCCTAGACTAAATAACATTATTATCGTAATTTAAGTAACGACCAATCAGAGCAGAGCCAGCTGGGCTTGGGAAGGGTCGAGGCACCATCTTTATATAAGGCGTTTTGACAGTTGTTACGAATATAGTCGTGAAGTGGAGACGGATCGAGTTGGGTCATCGTGTTTTGTGCTTGCACTTTACCCTAAATGACGCCCACG